AGCCACCTGCTATACAGCAATAGATTTGTAATCACCATGATTCAATAATCTAGAATCACTTCTAGAAGTAGTCCAGTCTACTTTTACATTTTTAAAGTCTTGGTTTCACTTCCTGGTGTTTCTCAAACTTTTTGCTATGTATTGGATAATACATGCTAACTTTTGTGGCTATCAGTTAAATATTTGACCTTGCACCTCTTAAGCTGAAGTAATAAGTCTTTAATATCAATCTCTAAACTTCAGCAAAAATCAGTCTGTATGGGATAAGCTTGATAAAAAATATTGTTCTCCTATGCTAAAGTTATGTCCAGCTAGATTTCACACTTTTTCAGAATCAGTGGTCTGACTATATAATTGAAGATATATTTATAATGCTTCTGTAGAAGAAGCAGTATAAAATACATCATTTCTGTCTGACAGGCGTAAAAGAAAAGTTAAGTGTTCCGCACTACCCTTTTTATTTGGCAATTCTAATATTACTCCTAACACTATCAACATTCTGGAGAAAACAATGTAGATCTCCTCTTATCTTCAATTATCCCTGAAAAGATGGTCTCAAAGATATCCAGCTCAAAGCCATCTAGCAACTAGTATTTTAAATTGCATTTGGAAACGTGAACAACCAGACACCTATAGCTGAGTGTCAACAGACACACATTTTCCAGCTGAGCTTTTTAAGGATAGTCCCATATAGAGAAAATTAAAATAAATTTAAAATTATCCTCAAGGCTTGCAACTGCAGCAAAAGCTGAACAAATTGAAACTGGTAGAAGCTGTCTGGACCAGCACTATAATTTGATCCACAATAAGAATATTGCATTCAGGAACACATGTAGCTAAACCTATGCTTTCTTGGAAGCAGATGCCTGTTGAGAATCAAAACTGGTATCATCCCAAAAACATTTTTTTTCTGAAATAAAAACCATACTGCTATAGTTGAGTTCAAGATGTTTTTCCATGTCCAAAGTCCTGGCAGATGAAAAACATTTAACCTGGGGTAAAGATATAGAACTGCTACATTTTTTTCATTTTGGTAATAACGTACCCATAACTGGTAGATTACTACACCCCATGGTTTCTTTGGATGTAAATAAGATGGAAGAGAGGGCTGAGCCCTGGGGTACTGCATACTTATGTTGAAATATATTTGATGTTCCACTGCAAATAATGACTATATTCTTGATGAGATTTATATACACATTTTGTGATTCTCTTCAGTCATGTGATCTGGAAGGCAGCATGATGCTTTTTCTACCAATGTAATAATTCTGTCACAAGTTGATTTTCCTATTCTAGAATACATATAAGAATGTTGAAGCATATAAAAAACAAATTCAACCTAAATAGCTTTGTACTGTATTATATACTTATGCTTAAATGTCTTTTTGATTTGGATACCCCATTTTATTAAAGGTGTGTTTTTGCTACAGCAGTAATTCAGTCATAATAAAAGGGCATGCAAAATTGTTGAGACTTAGCTAGTGACCGGAAATAGCAAAATGGGAAAATTCAGTGCTTATATCAAACTCAACAAAAGGAAAATGTGCAGCTAATTTGAAAGGTGGAAGCTAAAACAATTTATGTGCCTGCATATATTTTATTGCAATTTACTCTGCTATTTCATACTAACTTAGATATTCATAAATAGATTTGATGTTGTAGAAATGCTATTTTTGTAACATTTACAATTCTTTACTTTTCCTAGATTCAGCATTAAAAAAATTGTTCTGTCAAAAGTCTGCTGATTGTGAAGCTTATATATAAACTCATAACAAAATTATCTGTATGGTTTACACTTATTAAAAATAAGAACAGTACACATGTGAAGCAAATCTTATGCCCAAAATAATACAAATAGCAAATAATAACAAATACCTTTCCCAACAATCCAGATATGAAAAGGTATCAGTATGGAAAAGAAAGTGACACAATCATTTTATTGAGTCAACATATAAGTTGCAAATTACTAAGCCATCTAAATATAGTAATGAGTAATTTCTCAGTTGACAGTTGCACATATTTTAGGATAGACAAAATGGGTTTTTCTGGACCAATGAACACTGAAGACTCAAGAAGTAATTATGCATAACACAGAAACTCTAAAATAGTCACAAAAATATACACATTGCCTATTTGACTTTTGTTTATGGTAATAGCCATTACCATCAAATGCAATGCTCTTGATGTTTCTTCAGAGATAATGATTGAATGAAACAAGACCTCAGCTTTAACTTTATGTTCATCTTTGCAGAGCCTAACAGAGAAAAATAAGAAGTGGCAAAAATTGAATTGATACTCTTCTACAATATGAACTTATTCTACTAACTAATGCAAAATAGTGTTTTTGTCTTCACAGACATAGATGGAGGACAGGGGGGGAGATCAAAATGAGTATCAAGATACTGTGTTCACTGACTGGAACTTAAAATTCAGAAAAACTACAAACTAAAATGAAGAAAAGAACAGGGAAGAATTGTGTAACTGTGTGTAAAGCCATGTTTTAGTGAGCATATCTGGAAAAATAATAGTGCTAAAGGGGTGGAAAGCTAAACTGCTGAACCATTGTCTACTACACTATTATCAAAAGTTACACGGATCCTTTCCTCTCTTATAGCCAGTCATTCTTGAATGCATGCTGGTGGGTATATCCTCCTCAGGATACTGCCCTTAAAGCACTGCTATATGAGGTAGCTGGATTATGAATTAACCAGCACTGCTGTTAACTCACTTGGATCATGCTGTTTTCAGAAGCCGCAGGAGAAGTTCACTGATGCTCCAGGCCAAGTTATTTACTGAGTAGCCATACTTAATTTGGTGTGAAGCCTTTTAAGACCAGTTTTTATGTTACAAATTAATCTTGACGCTGTTGTTTTACAATTATTTAGTATCATATAGCAGGCAAATTGGTTGGGGCCCAACTAAAGGAAGAATAGCCCTGGAATTTTAATCTACTTGGTATAAAACAAATGGGAAGAAAAGCTGCAGAAAGTTAAAATGATATCAATCCTTCTTCAAAATCTAAATAAGAAAAAAAACCCACAACATATTACTCCCTGTACCTATTTTGATCATATTCTTCTCCCTACTTGTTTTTTTATTTGCAGCTACTATTATGAAGATATACATTTTTTTCATATGTAAACCTAATTTTTCCTATAACTTAATATATTTTCACTACTTCTGTATCTATTCAATAAGTGTGAGAGCTATTGAAAAAGGGTACAGATTGTAAATAATGCCATAAGTCCCACAGTGCTGATCAAATATTTTAATCAAAGTTCATTTGATAATATTGCTAATCTTTTATTCATCTACCAATTTTATTACTCATTTTGTAAAACTGGTAATGTGCATAGCACATGCTTCTGATAGTTAAACAGATAAAGAAATATGCTTATTTTTTCCTATTCTTATTCATTTGTACTTTTAGGTTTTATCTGTTTTTTTTTTCTGGAAAAGAAGTGCAGCCAATCATTCCAGTGTTCTTCCATCCAGGTTTTGGTTATACTTTAGAATATTTACTAAAAATCTGAGAATATGCATTAGAGTATAAACAAATCTGTTTATAAACATGGTTTTTAAAAGAACACTAAATTTTACTTATAGAGAATGGAAAATTCAGACTTCCTCCAGAAAGGTGATGAATTTTCAAGAACATGCATTAAAGCTTATTCTAAGAAACAGCACAAGCATTAAAACATGGCAACAATGCAATATCAAGTTCACTGCAAAAAACAAAGCAAGTAAAGTACAGAACAGCTGCAATTATAACTGAATATCTAGGAGGAAAAAAATCAACAACAACAAAATCAAATAGTGCATTACCAAAATGGAAAATCAGTTTGGAAAGTAAACAAGATAAGATCAGATGCAAATAAGCTAGAACAGATGAAAGAAGAAGCTAAGTACTAGAAGACTAAAGAACACCTAATAAAGAAATATCAGCTTAGAAACAAGGAAGACCAAGGAAGCACTGGTAAGAATAAAACAGCAAAAAATAGCCAAGAAGATCAGTGAACACTAAGTTCAAATTGGAAATAGAATAGAATAGAATAGAATAAAAGAGTTGGAAGGGACCTTGGAGGTCTTCAAGTCCAACCCCTGCTTAGGCAGGAAACCCTACACCACTTCAGACAAACTGTTATCTAATCTCTTCTTAAAAACTTCCAGGGTTGGACCATTTACAACTTCTGGAGGCAAGTTGTTCCACTGATTAATTGTTCTAGTTGTTAGGAAATTTCTCCTTAGTTCTAAGTTGCTTCTCTCCTTGATTAGTTTCCACACATTGCTTCTTGTTTTATTCTCAGGTACTTTGGAGAATAGTTTGAATTCCTCTTCTTTGTGGCTGCCCCTGAGATATTGGAATGCTGCCATCATGTTACCTCTATTCCTTCTTTTCATTAAACTGGACATAACCAATCCAGCAACTATTCTTTATTATGTTTTAGTCTCCAGTTTCCTCTTTTTTTATAGTTTCAACATCTTTTTTACATTGTGGCAACCAAAACTGAATCAATATTCCAAGTGTGGACTTACCAAGGCATTATAATGTGGTATTAACATGTAACATGATCTTGATTCTATCCCTCTGTTTATGCAGCCTAGAACTGTGTAGGCTTTTTTGGCAGCTGCAGCACATTGCTGGCTCATATTTAAGTGATTGTCCACTAGGACTCCAAGATCCCTCTCACAGTCACCACTATTGAGCAAGGTACCACATACTGTATCTGTGCATTTTGTTTTTCTTGCCTAAGTGTAGAACCTTATTTTTAAAAAATTTTATTTTGTTAGATAGCACCCAATGTTCAAGCCTGTCAAGATCCTTCTATATCTTAAGCCTATCTTCTGGAGTGTTGGCTATTCCTTCTAGCTTGGTGTCGTCTGAAAATTTGATGAGTTCCCCACCTATACCCTTGTCCAAATCATTGTACTGCTCCTAAAAGAGAGCCCTGGGATACCACATGTACACCTTCTTCCATATAGATAACAGTTCCATTGAGGAGTACACATTGAGTGTGGTTGGTCAGCCAGTTATGAATCCACCTGGTGGTGATGCTGTCTAACCCACATTTTTCTGTTTTATCAAGTAATAGGTTATGGTCTATTTTTTCAAATGCCTTACTGAAGTCCAGGTAAATTATATAGACAGCATTCCCCTGGTCAACTAATTTTGTCACTTTGTCAAAGAATGCAACAAGATTAGTCTGGCATGATCTGTTTTTTTATAGGCAGAATTATAGACAGAATCCTCAATTTCAATCCATCCAATCAGAAACATCTCTACAAATCCATCAATGGAGAGATGAGAGTGAATGAGTGAACAATTGACAAAAAGAAACAGTTTTGAAGTTTTGGGCTCAGATATAAGATAATCCAAAAAATGCAACAAGAATGCAGCTTGGTTTAAGGCTATCTTTGGGTATGTGATGATTGATGGGCAATGTTAAAGCCTACAGTTGTGCAGTTAGGATTATTGTAGATATCTAGTAATAACAATATATGATAAGTGGTGTAACCAGGCTTTTTGGGGATTCACTTAAAAAAATTATTTGGGGAATAATTGTGTTTTAATTCTGGCAAAAATAGTAATGACTATAATTTGAGCCAAAGCAGTGAACCCTGTGCTCCTGCCAAACTGACTAAGAGATATGAATATAGATTTGTAACCAACCAATCTTAGAATTGTTAATGAAAATAAAGTAAAAAAATAGCTTTTAGGATAAACCACCAATATTAAAGGAACAAGTAGCCAAGAAATATGCTACAAACTATTGCTTGGTAGAGCACTCATGGAAGATTAAGAAAAGATGTTCAGATGCTTTGATATGTCTACGCCTGTAAAGATGAGAATAAAAAAGTAATATCATACTTGATGGAAGTGAAAGTTGGAGTTGAGGAAACAAGATAGAAAGAGTATAGATACTTTTGAACTTTGGTGTTGAAGATGACTCCTCAGAATATCATAGATAGCTAAGAAAACAAATTATAAAATGATCTTACTTTGAACTCATGTGAAGACCTAATGTTGGCAGAGATGAAGGACAAAGAATTAGAGGATGACCAGCAGCAAGGTGGATAGACTCAGTTACAGTTATGATAAGAAGTCAGTTGAAGAAGTGAAATAGGGATATTATTAGAGATATTATTAGGGATACTATTAGGGATAGATCATCATGGAGAAAACCTATCCATGTGGTCAGTAATAGTCAACACTGACTTGATAGTACATCATATCTAAAATAAAATGTGAATCAAAATACACGAACAATTAATTACATTTGCATAGGTAGGCAATATACAACTATAAAGTAGCCAACTGGATATAGCTTTGATGGTGGTGTCCTAGGCTTTTCATTAGTTTGATATACATTACATTCTATTTTATGATAAAAAAAATAGAAAGACCCTTTCTGGACTTGTCCTGAAAATATAAATATGTGCCTTGTTATCTTCCTCCTTTTTTGTCATGATCAAGATCACTTTAAGTTACAGCATCAAATGATATTTTGAATCCCAGCAATTTTCTTAGTTGTATGCGATTTTCTACTGACATAGTGAAACAAATGATTTAAATGTAAAATTAAAATCTTAATTAAAAAACTAATTTGAAAGAATGTTAACTTTGAACTTTACAGTTCACGCATGCAACACACACACACACACACACAAAATCTTAAACACCAAAAAATCCCGTGATCTGTTCGTGTGGAAAAATAATTGTACAGCTAGAAAGAATAGAGTTTATTTCTAGATCATACCAATACTAGATTTTTAAAAGCTTTTTAAATATAAAAACAAATAAACAACTCAGAACATTCCCATGATATTTTCTTTTTCCAGCTGCAAAGCAATGATTAGACAGCTTCTTGGTTATGTATATAGAAAATAAATGATGGACCGGTAGATAAACTGAAAGTCTTGTTAGCTCTGGAGACCTAGGTTCAGTATCTTTTTCTGATACCAATGAATCATGTGTTGAGCAGAAGATTATTACTTATGAATTTTAAAAAGCAACATAAATGTCAAATGACAGTTCTTAAGACTGTACATCAATTAAACACAGGTTCCCTCATGGTTGGTGCCCAACTGAAGTATAGTTGTATCTAACCAGCAACTTATTTTTTAGACTGTTTTAAGGCAAGCCCTATAAAATAGAAGGCTATCACTTTTTCCCCAGAATATGTCTGAAATGAACATTTTCTTTTCTCCTAAAAATAGTATACAAAGAATGAATAAATATATCGTACATGCACACTCACACAAAGATTGCAGTCTTTATTGCCTTTATTTTCATTGGCTATATTCTAACTGATATTATGTGAACATGACATTTCCCAAAATGTTATGAAGTTCTCAGAACTCTGACAGCCCCAAAGCTTCAGCTGATCAAAATATCAAACTTCAAATATGTTATTTCACTGTTTCTAAGACTAAGTTTCGAAGTCTTCAGTATCACACCATCCCACACAAGCATGTGTAAGAGTAATACTGTACTGTTAAACAGTTTCTTTTAATTTACTTATAAATTGGAATATGATAGTTTTGCAATCAGTTCAATACATACACACACAGAAAAAGCATAAATACACATGGGGAAATCTCTGATCTATAAATTCATCAATTGAAATTGTTAAAACAATTTTGTGAAATCTGGATGAGTTAATGAGTCCAAATCAGAGGTGGTATTCAGCCGGTTCACACTGGTTCTGGTGACCCAGTAGCAAGAATTTGGTGTGGGTCACAGAACCAGTAGCGACTTCTGTCTGGCCACGGCCCCGAACCAGTTCCTGGTCACCCGAGCGGTCACCACTTGCTTGTCCCACCCACCCGCCCATCCCAATCCCACCCTATAAAAACACACCGCCATGTGGTCTTATTGCTTATGCATGCTAGTCTGCTCTGCGGCTGCTTGCCTAAACTGATTTGAGACTATTCTAATCTACTCTTCCCCAACGGACCTCCTAGAGGACCTGCCTACAGGACCAGGTAATCACTGAACCCCTGGCACCCAGCCCCGGCCTGAACCCCTGGCATTCCTTCCCACCGCCCGGCCTTGCCCCAAGCTTCCAGCAGCCTCCACTGGCTGCAGCCTCAATCTGCAGCCTGGCATAGCTCCCCAAGCTGCTGTGGGTCCCTTGTGTGCTGGCCGCTACCCTTGCAGCCACCTGCCCCCACCCCCAGGCTTTCAAAAGCCCATGGAGCTCCTTGTCAGCTACGGCCTCAATCTGCAGCCTGGCGTAGCTCCCCAAGCTACTCCCCAAGCCGCCACCAATGTGGCCGCCTGCCCCCAACACCGAGCTTCCAAAAGCCCATGGACCTCCTTGCCACTGCCTGGCCTTGCCCTGGGCCTCCGGAGGCCATGGTGTCCAGCCGGGGGACTTACGTAGCTGGCCAAGGCATCGTGATGCCTTGCACTGCATTGCCAAATTCACCTGGAGCTCCTTCCCTCAGCCGAGCCTCATCCTGAGCTTCCCAGCTGCCACCGCGATCTCCCCCCCTTCATGGACTTCTAAAAGCCCTCGGATGTCATTGCTGGCCAGGGTGATGCCCATAGGCTCCAGCCTAGACAGACTTGTTAAACTAATCCACCTCCCTCCCCTTCCAGCCTCTAGCAAGCAGCACTTACCTCCTTCAAACACCTTCTGCCTTGCTTGTGCTGCATCCAGCTCATTGTTGATGCCTGCCTGCTTTTTTCAATTGGGTAAGTAGGTGGCTTTTTTTCTTATTTAAATCAGGAAAGGGTCTTCAAATTCATCAAGTTTTAAGAATTGTGGACTTCCCAGATTCCTGAGCTAACATGACTGGAGGAGGAATTCTGGGAGTCCACAAGTCTTAAAGGTATCAAGTTTGAAGTCCCCTGATTTAAAACAAGGGTCTTCAAACTTGGAGGAGGAATTCTGGGAGTTGAAGTCCACAAGTTTTAAAGCTGTCAAGTTTGCAGTCCCCTGATTTAAAAAAAACAGTAAGCGTGTTAATTTTTTTCCTGAAAAAATAGTCATATAAAATTTGGGAAATTTTAGCTGCTTTTCTATTTTTAGAAAGCAACTGCTTTGTGAGGTTGTCATTGTGTGTGTATGGAAGTTCTTTTAAATTGGGTGAAATGTTATGTGCCTATACATTAAAGCTATATTTTTATATTTTTCCAGCTGTATCTGTTTTGTGTGTGGTTTTCAGTTGTGCAGGGAGTGTGTTTTCAGTTGTGTAATTTTGTGGGTTTGCTGCCAATCCAGTCATCTGGATTGGCAGCAGACCCACAAAACTACACAACTGAAAACTACACACACACAAAGCAGATACAGCTGGAAAAATATAAAAATATAGTTTTAATTTATAGGCACATAACAACATGTCCCAGCATTTTTTGATGTTGATGCTTGCAGCATGCAGGCCAGGTGACATTTTACATGAAGTCCAGCTGCTTTTATGGTTTTTGAGAAAATTAGTAACTTGTTTTGGGGTATAACACTTCACCATTATTAAAGTTGGTTTTAACATGTTGAGATTTCTGTAGCTGAGCCTGCTTGATGGGTTTGGATGCTCATGATTGTCCTGCTTTTGTTCTTGCCTGGGTCTTTTGTCTTTCCTGTCATGGTGGTTATTCTGCCAGTTATCAGGAAAAGCGGACCCCCAGGTGAGTTATCTTAATAATGGATGTATTTTAGTGGTGCTTTCTGTTGTCTTGCTTGTTTGCCTGGGGGTTTCTTAAAGGCAGAAGTGCTGAAATTTCTGGTGTGAGGTTTTGGGTCCTTGGAGGAACAATCCAGGGTTTTTATTGCAATGGCTTTGTCTGGGGATTAAGTAAAAAACTGGTTTTTGTCTGCAGTATTTTTTTTTTGGGGGGGGGTGTATGCTTTCAAAGTTATCTACTCATTAACAATGATCAAATACTAATATTTGCTTATCCTTTTTACTGAACTTTCCTTATATAATTGGTGTTTTCTTTTATACTTTTACATTTCTAACTTTTGTTTCTGTTAATTAGCCATTGACAAAAGAAATCCCATATTAAAAAGTATTATAAGCCTTCTCCTTGATTGTAAATTTGTAATTGTTAATTTATTCATTTCTGCACATTCTAATATTTTAATTCATTTTCATATCTTTTTTCCCCATTGTTGTGCAAACATAATTCCAGCAGCTGTTGTATGTGTTAAATTAAATGAATCCAGCAAAATATTTCTGGTTTTAAATCCAGAATGCCCTCTGTTGGGATTTGAATTTGAGCTTGTATTCTGATTGGTTGTCAGACTCCCATGGGGCTATGCAGGGGCAACTCTGTAGGCTGTCTTGAGTCCCAGGCTTGGTTGAGCCTTGCTGGATGATGATGTAATGAAAGGGCTTTGGTCAATTCCTAATATAGCTTTACCTGGAGTAGATCTTTGTTATGTAAAATAGATTGGCCTAGGCCAGAGTAATGGCCCATTAGCAAAGGTTGGGGGGCGATGAGTTTCTGCCTTCCCTGAGTTTTTACTTTTCTTTTTAAGGGAAATATTCCACCCAGCCAGTCACATGACTGCCAAGCCACGCCCAACCAGTCACATGACCTCAAAGCCATGCCTACCAAATAAGCCACAGCCACACAGTCACATGACCCCTAGCCCACACCCACAAAATAGACCACGCCCACAGAACCCATAGTAAAAAATTTTGAATACCACCACTGGTCCAAATGATTTACCATTCCTACAATTTCATCCCATTTGCCAGAAACTGGAACAGCTGTTAATATTCTGGTGCTACTCCATATTGAAATCATGAATGAAACCTATTTTTAAACTGAACCTCCAATAATTTTCTACATGAAGCTGATTTTCTAATCATTAACTGAATTATGCTCACTGTTGACTTTAATGTGTAACCAGAATCGATTCACATATTGAAAAGATATTTTTTCAGCTTCAGAAGAAACAGTATGTACATCTTGTGAAGCCTGTCTATATCTATCTATCTATCTATCTATCTATCTATCTATCTATCTATCTATCTATCTATCTA